CCTGGTTTTGGAATCAAAGTAATGCTTGCTTCCAGGAATGAATTTGGGAGTGTTGGCTCCCTTTCAATTTCACTGAAGAGTTTAAAGAGTAATGGCAAAATTTCTTCTCTAAATGTCTTGTAGAATTCAGTCATGATGCCATCAGAGCCTGGGCTTTTCTTTGTTGGAAAAGTTTTAATTCTGGTTTCAATTTCACTGATTGAAATTGGGGTGTTTAGAATTTTTATATCTTCTTCATTCAACTTTGATAATTCATATGTATCTAGGAATCTGTCCATTTCTTCTGTTTTCCATTTTATTAGAGTACAGGTTCTCGAAGTAGGGATTGATGATCCTCTAGATTTCTGCTGAATCTGCTGTGACTCCTCCTTTTTTTGTTCCTAATTGCATGGATCTGAGCCTCTTCTTTCCTTTTTTCGATAAGGTCGACCAAGGGTTTATAGATTTTATTTATATTTTTGAAAAACCAACTCTCTGATTCGTTGATTTTTTTAATTGTTCTGTTAGTCTCCATTGCATTGATTTCTGCTCTGATCTTTATAATTTTACCTTTTAAAAAAATATTAGGCCATGTTTGCAATACATAATGTTTATATGCCTTGTGTGGTGTTGGTACACTTACAGAACACATCTTAATTCATTTTTGCATCCCCTCTCCTCCATATCCCTCAGTTTCTCTCTCTCTTTTAAAAAAATCTACAGCTCTCTTTCCTATTTTTTGTTTTTATTTTATTAATACATGTTTGCAATACTAGAAGTTTACAATCATCTTGGGGAGTAGGTACATGTATATAACACAGCTTGGTTCTTTTTTTAAATGCCCTTCCCACCTGCCTCTCTCCCTCAGTCTCTAAATCCTCTTTCTGCATTTTCATTCTTGTGGTTATCATTGTTCTTAGCTCGTGTGTAGAACACATAATGTTTACATTCATTGTGATATTTGGTACCTATACATGACATATTTTAAATCTTCTTACTTCCCCTTTCCTCCACTTTTCCCCTTCCCCTCAGCCTCCTAGACCCTTTCCCATTTGCAACGCTTCTGTCAACTTGTTTCCTTCTGTCCATCCTTTATTTTCCTGTTTGTACTTTGCCTTGCTCAAATGAGACATACCATACAGGGTTTAAGCTTGTGTATCTGATTTATGTCACTCAACTTTATTTTCCAGGTACATCCATTGTCCTACATATGCCTTAAATTTATCCTTCTTTATATTTGAGTATTCCACTATGTATAGATAGTACATTTTCTTTATCCATTCATCTGTTGATGGCCGACAAGCTCCTTTCAGGATTTAGCTATTATTTCAGGATTTAGCTGTTATAAACATGAATAAGCATTAATAACTATAATACGTTGTCTTTAACTCTTTGGGGAAGATAAACTAGAAGGGGAATAACTAGGTCATATGGACTTTCTAATTTTAGATTTTCATCCTCTTCCTGTGTGAGAAAGATCTGTTTGCCCACTTCTTATCATCTATCCTTCATTTTACTCTTTATTTATAATTTGGGCTTCTCATATAAGACACATCATATGATATTTAAGCTTGTGTATCTGATTTATTTCACTTAACATTACGTCCTCAAGGTTCACCCATTTCCTTACAAATGACACGAGTTTATCTTTCTTATGGCAGAGTAGTACTCCATTACGTGTAAATACCATATTTTCTTTATCCATTCATCTGTTGGTGGGTATATGGGCCGCTTCCAACACTTGATTATTTTGAATTGTGCTGCTATAAACATGGGTGTGCATGTATCACTGTAATATAATGTTTTTAACTCTTTCAGGAAGATCAGTAAAAGAGGAGTAACTGGGTCAAGTGGATCTTCTAGTTTTAGCTCTTGTGTGAACCACTCTGAGGCAGAACTGTTTCCCAGAACTTAAAACAGTGGTTAAAGTGTTAATGAAGTCAAACAGGTTTGTGTCAGTCATTGAACTAGGAAATCCTAGTCTTGTTATCACAGATTGGCAGAGAGAGGATAATTACGTCCTGTTGACGCCACTAGCTGGGCTGTTTATGGTGAGGGATAAATGGATGTGTATGTGTGTAAAAATAACGTGGACATTTGGTGTGTATGTGTGTGTGAGTAGCACGGACATTTGTACCCATCTACGCTGACATGGATACGTAAGTGCATGTATGTGTGTCTGTATGTATTCCACAGTGGGAAGTAGTGTGATTAGTTGTTTTATGTAAAAATGTTAGATACTGGCCATGCTGTCATAAATTTGTGCTACCCACATAGGGCCATGTCAAAGTTGTGTGTATGTTGTTGGTGATATTTGTGTGTCTAGGTTAATTATTTGTTCAAATTTAACTTCCACATAAATGAAACCTCTTCTCAGATGTATTTGAAAATTATTGGAGTACCTTAATCTTGCCAACCATAAACCAGAATAAAACATAACAACTTCTTGTGTTACTTTGAGCCATTTAATTTCATTATTATATGTGGTTTAGCGGTCTGCAAAGTGAAAGGAAAAGGAGAGTCATATACAAAGCAAGAGCAGATGGGTGTTTATTTTTTCTGTGAAACAAGGCTGAGGTTATAGTGAATTTTAATATTCCTAGATTCAGAAGGAAGTTAGGATGCAGACTTTTCTTTTTTTGTACCAGGGATCAAACTTGGGACCTTGTGCTTGCGAGGCAGGCAGCGGAACCACTGAGCTAAATCCCCGGCCCAGGATGCAGACTTTTAGTCCAATTAGCACAGATACTTTCAAATTACAGTTTCAGTGCTGTGATGGCGTTTTGAGGAAGAAATAGCAGGAGTGGAAGGCATGGGACAAGTGATTGGTCCTCAGAGCCCTGTAGGAATAGATGTGAGCCAGTGAATGTCAGGCTTCAGAAGAAGCAGCCATCACCAATGCAGCGTCAGTCAAAACCTAAGGCATTGATCTCCCTGCAGCATAAAGTCCTGGATATTTTAAGTTCAGCTCTTTTGCATATTAAAACAAATCAATCATCTTTGATCTATCTTATTTCTTTGGTCCTTGACTGCCATCCAAAGCTCTGTATGTATACATCTGTATGTATGAAGGTTAATGGCAGGAAATTAATTAGAAGAAAGACTTGTAGAAGCTGAGGACAGGACCAGCCTATACTATCCTTGCGGTGCAAATTCTCCAGGCTGCATCCTTTGAGCTTCACATGGAAAAGGTGCAGGTCAGAGAGATGGCGCTGAACATCATTGTACGCTGACTTGTGCCAAATTTTGCAAAGCATCCCTTCAATATAAGCTCTATAATTGTATCCAATAAAAATAAATGTGCTTTATTATTTTTGCTGTCTCTTTCAGCCCTGGTGCAGTTGCCTGTTGTGGAGTTTAAGGTATATAAAAGGCTAATGGTGGTTGTAGCACCTTTTCCCCTCTAAGTGTTAGTCTAATGACTATCTCAGAAAGATATGTGATTTTGGGGGCATTGATGTAGGGAGTTATGAAGGATTCTTCCCCAGAATTCAGAATAGATATCTTTGGTTATTAATGTACTTCCTGATGTTTTTACTTGGGAGAGATTTTTACAAGGTCATGGTCATCAGACTGGCTATCCTAAACTGCACTCTATCGTGTTTATCTGAGACCAGTTCCACTTGAACAGCAGAAATTTTGGGAGAGCAAAGGAGCATGGCCCATTTCCAGATAAAGCAGGCCTGGGGGCAGAGCAGGAATTGGGGTGGGTTCAGGACGTATTATTTTCAGGGTAGAAGGGATGTGGTGGGGTAAAATGCAGAGTGGTGGATGGAATTGGCTTTATAGATTGATTTCTGTTTTTTAAAATTGTTTTATGCAGTGCCTTTAAAAAATTTTTATCTGTCCACGTTTGCAGTATACAATGAGTATTTGATCACTTCTCAGCCTTTTGGCTAAGATCAAGTGTATGATGAATATTCAATTTTGGAAGTTGGTACATGCACATAACACATCTTAATTCTTTTTTCATCCCCTTAACCTCCATTCTTCCCCCTCCCTTCATCTCTTGATCCCCTACCCATTTGCAAAAGATTTTTCTATCTGTTTCACATTATCTATCTTTTATTTTGCTGTTTAATTTATGTATAGTTTGGGGAACCATATGATATTTAAGCTTCTGTATCTGATTTATTTCACTTAACATTATGGCCTCAAGGTGCATCCGTTTTCCTACAAATGACTCAAAATTGACATCTGGCTTTAAATTTGACAGTCACTGGCCACTGCTAAAGGCCATTGTCAGGCTCACTCTGGCATTTAAACTGAAGCTTGTAAATGAAATTTGATAATTTCAATTATATGTATTCATCCCAAATCCATTGGAGGTCAAATTAAACATAGGAAGCATTTCAAATATCCCCCAAAATATTTGAATATCCTTAATGGAACCTTGTAGCCTTAAATTATAAATAGTTGTATGACTAACATTGGAAATTTCCAGTTTTCCCTTGGAAATTAATATATTAACATTATATGTTAATATAATAGACTCATGTTTCTAAGTAGCAGAGCTTGCTTTAGTGATCATCCTCTGAGTAATAAAGATTTTCTTTGTTTAAAAACATCAGAAGAGAGAAATGTACAGTGAACTCTGTATTATTCATCTTCCACTTTCAGTGTTTATTTTGAAATCATGGAAATCCTCATTTTAGAAACCCAGTAAATGGGGCTGGGTATTTAGCTCAGTGGTACCATGCCTGCCTTGCAAGCTCAAGGTCCTGAGTTCAATCCCTGGTACCCCAAAATAAAACAAAAAACAAACAAAAAAAACGCAGTAAACTTCCTTCAAGTAAATCTTCATTTTTATTTTATAACTGAGATGGTAATAATAGATTTTCAGGAAAGTGAATTACCATAATCCTCGTGAATATATTAGAATGGGTTTTTTTTGTTGTTTGTTTTTTTTTCGGTACCGGGGATCGAACTCGGGTCCTTGTGCTTATGAGGCCAGCGCTGGGACCACTGAGCTAAATCTCAGGCCCCAAGAGTGGGTTTTAAATCTAATATAAAAATGTGTTTCTAATGTGTTTCAGGCTATAGGTTCCAGGCTTGCTGTAGTTGCCCAGAATGTAGCAAATCTCGGGACAGGAATTATTATTTCCTTCATCTATGGCTGGCAGTTGACACTTTTACTCTTGGCCATTGTGCCCATCATTGCCACAGCTGGAGTTGTTGAGATGAAAATGTTGTCCGGGAACGCGCTCAGAGATAAGGAAGAGCTGGAAGTTTCTGGAAAGGTGAGTCCAACGAAGTCTAATGGCCACCTAAGCAGAGGAAAATATTCTTATCAGTGGGATTTTGTTATTCCTCTACTTATTGTGCTCTAAGAATGATTTTCTAACCGTTATTCAATGATTTTATAACCGTTATGCCTGTTGCACAGGTTAGCAGCTGTAGCTTCGTGGGCCATTTGAGTCATTCTCTTCTATTTGTCTGCTCTTGCCTTTTTCTTTTCTTTCCTTTCGACCTCTTTTCTTTCTCCCTCTTTGTTCCTTTTAAACTAATTTAAATCCAACTCTACTGAAGAAAGCAGGACAATGTTATTAACTGTGATGGGGGGAGGCTCAGTATGGAGAATCCTATGGGTATTTATTCTTTGTGGTGTAAAGATTGCTAACTTTCACTTTAATCATGACCCCTCCCTTCATCATTCCTTGATTTCTCCGTCCCCTGCTACTTATTTTGCTGCAAACTTATTTTTTCCTAATTTTTAAACAAATATCTATGGGGCATTCACTGTGTTTCCTGCAGAGGCTTTACTCCTTATCACAACCCTGTGAGTTAGGTTTTCTTTTTTATTGTCCAGTTCCAGTGCCTGAGAGCTGTTAAGTCTGGAGCCAGGATTCAAACTCAAACAGTTGTGCTCCTGTGAGCTAGAACTGAAACAAGTCCCCTGGTGGCAGAACATGATCTGATACCACATGATCTAGGTCATAGCAGAAACGAGAGGTCAGAATAGGGCTGGCCTTGAAACTGGTCCTGATGTGTAGGCAGAGAAACATCTAGCAGTGGACATTCCAGGTCCCCAGAGTTAGGTGAGTGTGGCTCTGGCTCTCAGGAGACCCAGGTGACCGAGGTTGTCTCTGGGCCAGGGGCCTCAGCAGTGTGAATGACAAGGCAGGTCCCAGGAGTTGTTCCTCCCCTCAGATACCCTGTCCTCTATGTGCCTGCATCTCCTCAGACTCTGTGCCCTGTTGTCTTTTAGGAAAATCCTTTGGACCAGGTTTAGTGCTTACCATCCAGTGTCTTGATATTTATTAAGGGAAAAAATTGAAGAACAAACAAATATAGATCTCGTGTGGGTATCTGTTTGAGCCCTCCAGGATGGAGCTGGCAACCCAGTCAGGTTATGGTGTGGAACGGGTAACTGTGGCCCCAGCCTGGAAAGTCCTGTGTCAATAACTCCATTAAAAATATACTTGGGGACACATATGTGTAAATACTGAATAGTTTCTCTAGTGTGAGAAACTGAAATTGTAATTAAGGATACACACGGATGAAATTGCCTAATAACATATTTCTCAGACTGTGTTTCCATCTCATGTCATATGACTATTGAAATTTAAATTAGGGAGACGTTTGGCTTATGTGGAGTCTGCTAGCTAACTGGAGTTTTATTTTCCAGACCACTATTTGTTCAATGTTGGTTCTGGGGATCTTTCTGAAACAAATCACATCCTCTGGTGTCTTGTTGGTGCTTGAGATGTTTTTTTAAGTTATATGGAACAAGGTTTAGTGTGCTCTTTAGTTTCATTTTGGTTGAGTTCTACTGTATTTGAAAATTATTGTAGTTTTTTTCGCCTTGCATTGTTCATCTTTGAATGCTTTTAATTTTTTTATGTGTGTGTGTTTGATAATAAAGTTATTTTATTTTTTAAAATTTAAAAAAATATATATACTTTGGGGGCCGGGGATTTAGCTCAGTGGTTCCTCTGCCTGCCTTGCAAGTGCAAGGTCCTGAGTTTGATCCCTGATACTAAAAAATAAATAAATAAATAAATACACACACACACACACACACACACACACACACACACACACTCTTCGGGTATATATTTCCCCCTATAGTGTGACTCTTCACTGAAGAGAAAATGGTAAAATCTAGGGGGAAATGTAAAAGAAGGAAATAATGAGTGTTTGGTAGTGTCATTATTTAATGAGGTGTTTGAACTGCCCGAGGAAGGAGTCTGAGATCATTTACAGGAAGTCCCATGATGGATCCCAAGCTGATTCATAGCTACCCAAGGTTAGCACCGTTGTACCTGGGACCAGATGCAAGACTGGTGGGTTCTCCCAGGGATGGAGAAGGGGGTGCTGATGGCTCTGGACAAGGTGAATCTGGCAGGTGTCTGAGTGAAGATCAGGACTATGACCAGTGCTCTGATTCAGTTCTTGAGAGGGACAGAGGCTCATGGGGAAGGTGGTGGTTGCAGCACCACCCAGTCGATATAATATTGAAAGTCAGTCCTCATCTGCTGATGTTCTCACGTTAGCATTTATTTCATGATAGTGAGAGTTCTGCATACATCCTCTCTCTTAATGCGCTCTGTAACTACATTGGACAGATCAAGTATCTTCCCCAAAGTCATATGGAAACAATCCCGTCAGATTCACCCAGAGACAGTCTCCTGATATTCCCGTCCATCCCTGTTCACCAATATTCTCTTTACCAAAGCCACACAGGTCATGCTGACCCCTAGTTAAAGCCTCCTGATGGCTTCTTATCACAACTGGAATGGACTCCATCCTTGCCTCTGGTTATAACTCCCGTCACGGCCCCGCAGGTGACCTCGGAGAGGGCGTCTTGCACAACAGGATGTCGTGTTCACGCTGCCCACCTCATCTCAGGTCTTCTTGAACTTCCTGGCATTCGCAGGCTCCCTCTGATCTGCTGTGGCAGGCCTCTGTACATTACTCAAATCTCAGAACTATTGCATTTTCAGAGAGGGAGGCCTTTCCTGACACTGGAAGTAATTTAAAAATAGACAATGGGAAACAGGGAGGTGGACCTTTTGGAGATGGGAAGGGGAGACGGGAGAGGAGGAGTAGGAAACACGAGGGGTTAACTCCCCACAAGGTGTGCATTCAATGGGTATTGCAAACACACTCATAAAAAAATCAAAAGGGCTTATTCATTTGTTTCTTTTCCTTTTTCCAAAAGTACTTAGTATGTGATGCTTTCTGTGAGAAACCTTGCTCTTTCCTCCTCATTACATGGAGCTTCTCCTTCCTTCTGGTGACCACTAAATCTCTTTGAAACTCTTGGAATAAATGAAGCTTTCCCTAATTGCTTCATTACAAATTAAATGGACTATAGTGTGGATTGTTTTAGTCACCATGCACAGTCTGGGACTCAAACTCTCACTTTATTGGGTCGCACACTGAGAAACAATGATATTTATAAATTCATAATAAGACATTTCTGCCTTAGAAAATGATGCACAGAAAATGTTTCTTAAACCATTACACTGAAATTCATAAAATCTGTTTTCTCTGCATACAGTGCTGTAGTTTGTTCAGTGTTCATAGTAATCCAGAGAACCCCTATTTTCTAAATGCTTATAATTAAAAATATTTCTAATAAAACTGAACAAGGATTTCTTTGGGGAGTTTGGCTGAAGGCATGATTTTTCTCTCTTGCTCCTTATCGTCTGTATTTTTAAGATTCTAAAATGAGTATATATGGTTTATTCAATGTGTTTTAAAAAGCCAGGCATGGAGATGCAGGTGAGTACTCTGGGAATCCCGGTACTCTGGGAAGCTGACAAAGGAGTGTTGTAAGTTGGAACACAGCCTGGGCAACTTAAGTGACTTAGCAAGACCCTGTCTCGGAAAAAAAAAAAAAAAAAGGACTGGGGTTGTAGCTCACAGTGAAGACCCTGGGTTCAATCCTCAGTACACAAAGTTGTGTAAAAGAAATTATGAAATATTTTAACATAAATTAAGTCTGGATATTTTCCTGTCATTTTAAGTAGCTTATGGTAAACATAGTTTAATCTGTCTGATTAGAGAATGTTATTGCTTTTGAGACAGAATCTCACCGTGTAGGCCAGGCTGACCTGAAACTCAAGATCCTCCTGCCTCAGCCTCCTGAGTGCCACCATGCCTGGCTTAGAATACTATTTTAAATTTCTTAAAGAATTTGTTTTTAAGTCTATGTTATTTTTTTTCCAGTATTTTTTGCACTAATATTCGAAACTGACTTAATATCTTATGAAGTATTTGCTGTTATTTTTGAATTCAGATAATTTGTGTAGAATTTGGTAACAAGTGAGACTGCATGGTTAGAAATCACATTTCTAAGGTGCAATTAAAGGGATGTGTCTTTAAGAGAATGAGTTCTGAGCAGTGTAAAGGCTAGAAAAAGAAAGAACCTCTTCAACAGTGTGAGCATTCTCTCCTGTTGTCGTGTGATGAAAACAGTTCTGGGAGTGCTGAGACCCTGCGGGCCATCCTGCTCCTCACTGACAGATGAAGACAGGGACAGGAGTTCAAGGCCCCCGGCCGACAGCTAACGTCACAGTGAGCTGCTGCTGCTCTTTGTGCTCTCCCTCCATGCCCGTTAGCCAGACTTCGAAAGGTGGTAACAGCGATTTGTCCCAGTCCACTAGACTTGTTGGAAGGAATCTGCAAGTCAGAAACTTTCTGGGAAAAAACTGTTACTAGGTGCCATGATCCTTACATAGTATATTCTCTTTGATCTAGTAATTTCAATATTTAGAACTTTTCCCAAACATCATTTAATATGGCAGATATTATAGTACAAGGGTATTTATCACAATGTTATTGTTAATAAGCAAAGAAAAACATTATTAGGACTAAAGGAATACCTAACCGGAATATTAGGTGACCACTGAAATCCATTATTAATGGATATTTAATGCCCTTGGGAAATGGTCTTGATATTTGTTAAGGCCAGAAAATATAGAGTTCTGTCACTGTTTGGTTAAAGGTGTAAAGCAGGTATTGTGGCACCCAGGACATCCCAACTACTGAGAAGGCTGAAACAGGAGGATTTGGAGTTAGAGGCAAACTGGGCAAGTTAGTACGATCTTGTCTCAAAATGAAATATAAGAAGAGCTGGGGATGCAGCACAGTGGTAGATCCAGCAGTGGATACTCCACCCCCAGTACCACAAAAGCAAACAAACAAATAAAAATAAATAGGTTCAGAGCTGTAGCTCACTGGTAGAACCCTCACCTAGCACAGATGAGGGATGGGGTTCATTCTCAGAAATACACGCGCATGCACACACACAGGTACACACGTGTGACATGTAAGCTTCAGGGAAAAATAGTACAGAAGCTAATGTGTAAAATACACAAGTTTTCAACATTTTCCAAATATTTTTGAGTTGTTCTGAATAGCAATTATAAAGATAACATATAATCCCATTAAAAATATGTGAAATAAGTGTATTAGCCGCTCACAATGTGACCATCATAGCAGAAGGAAGACTGCAAATGGTGTAAAACACTGAGTTCCCAGGTGAATTTTGTAAAGTTATGTGGCTTTAGGCAAGTGTCTCCATCCCTGTAAGCCTTGGCTTCTCTTTCTGTAAAGAGCGAAAGCTTAAACTAGGTGATCTCCCTTCAGTTTGATAAGTTACTTAGTATCTTTTTCCATAAAGAAGCTACACATAGGTACTACTAAGTGACAAATGATGTGCAATCATAAAACTAGTCTCACCTGTTTAAGAGAACTAAAAGTAATTGCACGTTTGCCCTTGTGCCTCGTCGTGATGTCTGTTACAGATCGCTACTGAAGCAATAGAAAACTTCCGAACTGTTGTGTCCCTGACTCGGGAGGAGAAGTTTGAACACATGTATGGGCAGAGCCTGCAGATACCATACAGGTAAAAACCACTGGAGATTGAGGGATTAGTATCAGAGCTGTTTTCAAGAGGATTACTTTGCCCAGAAGGGAGGGCACAAGTGGGCAGTACTTGTACTTCAACAGGAAAAAGTGTTGAGACCCTGCTGAGTCAGGGGCATCTCTGAGGCAGGACCTGCAACAGCTGGTGGGGGGTGGGGAATGGAGGGGAAGATGTGGAGACTCCCTGAGGTCCAGTTTAGATTGTGAGCCCATTGTCCTGGTTGGGCATGCAGTCTCTACGGCTCGTGCAAACTGAAGTCCCTGCACACTGGTAGGCGGCACGTCTTGGGTGTCCGTGCCATAACTTCCTTCCCTCCCCTCTGGTGGAGGCCTTCTGTTCTTCCTCTGAGAGCCATCCCAGGGAGGGCTCCAGCAAGTGGTGTGAATCCGAGTGAGCCCAGGTCTCTGAGGCACAGTTTCTTCTCTTGCAAAAGGAGATAGCTGGACCTTAATGATTGGTTTTCCAACTTTTTTTCTGAAAAAGTTTTCATGTGACATCCCCATATATATAACCAAGTTGGTATGGTTGAAGCACAAGTCCGAACCCCGAGGCTGCCTATTTCCCAGTGTGTTCCTATGCACACTTCCACGTCACAGAGTTCCATGTCCCTCAGAAAACCGGGTCTCAGCTCGTTCACAGAGCCTTCCGTAAGTCCCCAAGAGAATCGAGTTTCTTCTTACTTCCCGTGTCGATTCATTAGGTACTGTCCCTCCACTGCGTCAACAGATATCCGGCCAAACGCCTGGGTCCCCAAAGGCAGGGACATCCCTGTTCCTCTGTGTCACACCACGTGGTGCCTTCAGGTTGTAGGCGCTGGGTAAATGTGTGTGGAGTGAATGTTGGCTATATGGGACACGTGCTAAATGTTGGCTAGTTTGGGAAAATGGAGGGGGCTTTCATTTATTAAACCCCAATAGGTTCTATACAGATCTCACTGGCTTCATACCTCATTCCATCGGTACACAGAGGTGCAGTTAATCCTTCATCTAAGGTGAAGACTCTGAGGCTCAGAGGTGAAGGATCTAACTAAATTCACAGAACTGGAAAGTAAGATGAGGATGAAGCAGTTCTTTGGAGATTAAACCTGTTTTGGCTGTCACATTTCTGTGGTCCACTGTCAACCAATGAAGGATTTCTTTATTTTTTACTTTTAATCAATTTTATTTTATCCCATTCTCCCCCTCTCCTTCCCTATGTGCAAAAGCTTTCTTTCCATTTTTTCCTTCTATTTTCACTTTTTTTTCTTGTCCCTTCCTTCCTTTTTCCCTCTGTCCTCCCATGTTCCCCTTCCCATTTGAACATTTTCTTCGCATTTCCCAATATCTATTACACATCTCAGTCCTTATTTCCAATTTCAGTTTTTCACACCAGAGAAACAATGCTGTATTTAAACATGGGGGTCCAATTTATTTCACATAAGAGTATAGTCTCAAAAAAATTATCGTCTCAAAGTCCATCCATTTACCTATAAATATCTGAAGCTCATCCATCTTTATGGCAGAGTAGTACTCCACTGTATAAAAAAAAATCTTCTTTATCCATTCATAGATTGGCAGGGAAAAGTTACATTTTAAGGACTGAGAAATGAAAGCACAATAATTTTTAAAATATATTCTTTTCAGAAACTCGTTGAAGAAAGCACACATCTTTGGAATTACATTTTCCTTTACCCAGGCCATGATGTATTTTTCCTATGCTGCTTGTTTCCGATTTGGCGCCTTCCTGGTGGCACATGGTTTCATGAGTTTTGAAAATGTTATGTTGTAAGTATTGGGTTAATATTGACGGGTTAATATTGACAATATAACTCTGAAGCAGTCATCCTGGGATGCACATGCTTCATGTCTAGATTGAAAACCCTAGGAGCAACCTCATGAAGAGATTTAGGTGCTTGAGAAACTGGCATTGAGAAATTGGACTCTGGGTCTCTGTTTCTCAGCAACTTCCACTCTTCCACTGCTAACTCCTACACCTCTGACTTTGGCAAGTCTGTGGCCCAGTGAGTGACTAACCACAGAGGTCTCCAGAGGAGTTGGAGTTTGGGAAGAAGCCCAGGCCTGAGTGAGGAGCCTGAAGGCTCCATGTAAGGGGCTTTGCAACACAGCAGCTGGGTCATGAGGATGGTGTCCACGTTCCACACACCTGGAAGACCCCAGGATAAATTCACTTTTCCTTCATAAGAGAAGACTTGCAGGGGAAGTGCTGGAGAAATGACAAAATGATAAAAGAAAACTAGATGAGAATTTTTCTGCTACATTTCCATGGCTGTGGAAAATTATACTGTGGTCTAGAGAAGTCAAGTTTAATGTTACCACTAATACACCAAAATCACCAGTTCAGTAGTGAAAACTCTGTGTGATCTTTCTGATCTTGCAGATTTGGTAACTGGTAAAACTCTGCCCTCTGTCAGTATACAAAACTAGAAGTAATAAAGTTTTACATTCAAATCTAAATCATATGAGTCTCAGAATATAATGTCTTAAGTTTATATATCTGTTCTGTGTAGTAGGCATTTACTTATGCATTATAGTTACAGAAGATTTAAAATGTCTACTCGTATGTGTGACATATGATATATAGGTATTACTTGTGATTAAGACCTAAATCAAAGAAAGTTAGACAGCATGGATATTAGGTGTTTGATTGGATAATTATTGGATATATTGCTTTACTTTGAATTGATGAATCTTGCTGTCTCTTGGACATTTATGTTTGCAAAATCAGTCTTCCAAGTAGGTAAAGGAAAGGGGAGACCTGTGTGAAGAATAGTAAATAGGTCCCAAAGGTTTGAATGATAAGGAGGACAAGATTGTGTGATTTACTTAGATAAAATTTTTAACAAGAAACAACTAATGGCACAGTTGTAGCGGTCTACTATTTAAACACCCACTTTCATAAACGTGTCCGGAGGGCGATGAGAGGAGCTATTAAAGAAACAAAGGACCTTTACAACGGTGTCCTAATACTTGAAGGTCAGCTTTTTGGCAGGTGAAGTCAACTTTTCTTCAGTTTATAAAATTTTACAAATCCTGTTTTACAATTATTTGCAGCAATGCTCCCTGCTTGTGGAAGTGTCAGTTTTCTAACAATGCGGCCATAACTGTGCGTGTCTTGTCTTCTGTTCCCTAGGGTGTTTTCAGCCGTCGTCTTTGGTGCCATGGCAGTCGGGCAGGTCAGTTCCTTTGCCCCGGACTATGCCAAAGCCAAATTATCAGCTGCCCACATCATCAGGATCATTGAAAAAGTCCCCGCCATCGACAGCTACAGCACAGAAGGCCTGAAGCCGGTGAGTTTGAGGTTTCCACTGCACGATCTGCTCCTAATTGCTGAATGAAAGTATTCAAAGGGGGAATTTGACAAAATGTATGCTTCTTATGTGATGATAGTAATATACAGATTTGAAGGTCGTGTGTTTATTTCAGTAAGTGCTAATAATATGTGCTCATATCCAGTACTTCTACATATCAAAGTTAGAGGGAGGGAGGAATACTGCTAGCTTTATAAGCAGATCCTAGCAATGAGTTTTCTGGTATGTAAGTTACTCCATTCTGGGGAGACAAGTTTATCACATCTGTATTGGGCTTTTGATTGGATTAACAGCTCATTCAATAAAAACATTGACTCTGAGGTCTTATTTTTTAGTTCTAGCAGTATGAGTTAATCTTACCTCTAACAGGATTGCACTACCTTTTGAAACCTGGTGGTGGAAGGGCTCAGGTCAGTGCTGGCTAATCTATGGCTCGCATGCCACAGTGGGCACACAGAGCCTTCCCTGTCGGCAGGGTAGCCAAGAGCCCCAGCAGCCGAGCACTGGATATTCAGGTTTAACTGACATGTTGGCACTTTGCAATAAGTAAGTGGCTTTTGGTGGCAGTTTGGGCACCCGTCTCTAAAAGGTTTCCCATCTCTGGCTTCATTCTACCCCGTGTTTCAGCACTGCAGCAAACTTACTGTTGCTGTCCTCATTTTAGAATATGCTGGAAGGAAACGTGACCTTCAGTGATGTTGTGTTCAAGTATCCCACCCGGCCAGACATCCCGGTGCTTCAGGGGCTGAGCCTGCAGGTGAAGAAGGGCCAGACGCTGGCCTTGGTGGGCAGCAGTGGCTGTGGGAAGAGCACAGCGGTCCAGCTCCTGGAGCGGTTCTACGACCCATTGGCCGGGACTGTGGTGAGCACTCTGCCTTCAGCTCAGTTCAGGGTTTTCCTTCTCTGGAGGCCTGGATGTGTTTTTCATTCTCAAGGATGAGTCATTGTTTTCCAATCTTTTAAATAACAGCCCCACTTAAGTAAAGTCTGGTAGCATAGCTGTCAGGGAAGTGCTGATGATAAACAGTATACTATGGCTGCAGAATGGTTAGGAAGGAAAGTGGGACTGAAGAAGGTGCTAAGACCAAGATCAAAGGTAAAAGGGCCAACTGGGAACAGCAGCTTGAATAGGGAAGGTAAAAAATCCAGAGAATTTAGGAAGGGGAATTCCGAGCATTTTTATGGCTAAGGATGAGATAACATCAGTGATAGAGAGAGGACAATGAAACATCCTCCAAGGGAGAACAAAGAAAGAAACCAAAGAGCACAACAGAACCCAATCGCGCCAAGACGGAAACATTTGGGCTATGAATGAAGAGTGTGGAAGAAAGAATATCTTTTCATTTTCCAACTAAGAAAATGAGTGTAGAGTGACAATTATTCTTTTACCAGAATATTTGAATTCCTGTCAGAGGACTGTCAGGTGTTGGACATGAGCTAAGAGTCTTGAGGAAGTGGTGAATTTATACCATTGTAATGGGGGATAGGAAAAGAGTCAAAGGAGGAAGGAACAGAATTTAGATCCAGAAATGTTTATTATGGTGGCATTTAGTTATGGGTGTTACTCAGAGATGATATTTAAAGTATGAAATAACTGGAGTGGTATGGGCATGGACAAACACACTAGCTCCAGGTGGAGCTCTATCATGCAAATGTGGAAAATTCTCTGCAAACAGAGCCCTCCTGGAGATATAGCTGCACCAGAGAGGGTGGCTCTTCTCAGCAAGTCTGGGAGGGGACTTCATGAGTAGCCTCTAGAACCCTCAGGGATCCAGGGATACTTCTTTGGCCTATTACTGAAGATGCCTTCTGCATTTGCCCTTTCAAATGCTTATCTACCTTTCTATCCTCTGTAGCTCAAAGTTCATCACATGCAGAGGTAGTTGTTGTTGGCCCTTAAGCACTTACCCTTTACCCAGCGCTGGGCTAAGTGAGTCTGTATGTTCTCAGTAATCCTCAACTCTGTGAACTGAGAAATTGTCCACATTTTTATGTTTCCCTCAAAGAAAGTAAAAGCAATGAATTCTTTTTCCCAAGATCAGCAGGCACAGAGATGCACCAGCTGCCCTGCCATGTGCACTGCTGTTCCATGTGATCACTGCATCTGGCTTCTCAAACGTGGGTCAGATTAAAAACCTGACCCATAAACTCAATGTGTGATCATAGTTGTATTTATTTCCACTCTGATCCAGGCTGCTCTTAGTACGAAAAACTGAGGTGTAAGAATAAGGATTCCAGGATACATCCCAGAAGAAAGGGGTGTTTGTTTCCTGTGGCTCATAGAACCACAGCTTTACTGGCTGAAAACAGCACATATTTCTTACCTTACACTTATGGAGGTGATAAATCCTAAGGAGGTCTCACTGAGCTAAACTCAAGGTGTCAGCAGAGCTCTGCTCCCCTTGTGGACTGCAAAGAACAAATTTGTCCTGCATTTTCTAGCTCCTGGCCCCTTCTTCAGTTTTCAGAACCAGTAATATCTACCAAATCTTCTCATATTACATGTGTGGATACAGTCCTGCCTTTCTCACAGTTAAGAACCCCTAAGAAACCTTATGTTTGTTTGTTTTTGTTTTTTTGGTACCAGGGATTGAACTCGGGTCCTTGCGCAGCAGGCGTCGAAACCACTGAGCTAAATCCCCAGCCCCCCCTAAGAACCCTTATGATTATGTTAGGCTCCCCAAGATAATCCATGATAATCGTTTTATTTTTGTTTGCCAATTAACATCCTTAATTCCATCTGAGGCTTTAATGCCTCCTTGACTCACAACATAATATATTCACAGGTTCCCAGATTAAGGGAAGGAATATGCATATCAGAAATCCCCATTAAATCATCAGAATGTGACCTTTCCCCCAAGTGCACAATCATGACCTTGTTCAATTAACCTTGACAACCCAAAGGGAGACAAATGTGACTTTCCATTAATCTCAACTACTTTGACTCTTCTGAAGTATGAAATAATGATGTTGATTTTGCTAAATTCAAAGCGTGCTGGTCCTGGGACTGACGTGTGCACTCTTCTCAGCTTGTGGATGGCACAGAAATACAGCAACTGAATGTCCAGTGGCTGCGAGCACAGCTGGGCATTGTGTCCCAGGAGCCCATCCTGTTTGACTGCAGCATTGAGGAGAACATCGCCTATGGGGACAACAGCAGGACTGTGTCACAGGAAGAGATTGTGAAGGCAGCCAAGGAGGCCAACATCCACCAGTTCATCGAGTCGCTGCCTGAGGTAAGTGTCCCTCCACACTAAGAGACCAGGAGCATGTACTCTCCTTTGCATTCTCTTCCCTCTTTCTTCCCCTTGTCCTCCTCCTGTTCCTTTTCATGCTCATTCTTTTCATTTGCAATGCTAGGGATCAAACCCAGGGCCTGGTATGTGGTAGGCAAGTGCTCTACCACTGAGTTACCATTGGTGAAATCAAATGGTGCAGCCCTATCATGTGATTTCTAACGAGTTGGTTTGCTATGGTGAGGAGAAGGTAGGGACCAGAACACAGTCCAACCTGTATTCAAGCATCTGGCCACACTTCCTGTCCTGGTTATTAGTTTCATTTACCTGGTCACCTGGCTGTCCTTGTGAGAAGGGTGGAAAGTGTTGGATTCAGTTTTAGGAGAGAGGGACTTTGCTGGGGTTAGGAGACCTGGAACACCTCCAGCTTGTAGACTTGAGCCTCCACTTGCTTCGGCCCTAGGGCTAAGTAGGATGTCTAGGAGGCCTTTCACTTTCCCTCCTAGTCCAACGACAGACCTGCAGTCAGCATCTGGGCCTCCCCCTGTGGCCATGATGCTTGTGGTCCTGCCAGGGAACCAGGCATGACCATGGCTCCCACTCCGTCTTTCATCTGTCTTCCTTGTGCTTCCTCGCTGCTCTTTTCTAAGCTTTGACCTCACTCTGTGGAGTCAGGCCAGGCAGAGAGCTGGACCCATGGCAGACAGCGGGCTGTCTGGTCACAGCTGAGCCACTGGGATGACGTGGTATTGTGTGATCATTGTATATTTCATAGGTCCTGAGCTGCATTTCTATGGTTAAGTGCTGAAATCTATCCTGGGCTTTGTGCTGTACACAGACTTTGAATTCCTTGAGGATAGTTGCGTTGAACCTGTGGCTTGCATGTTACTGTTTTTTTCTTTTAAGACAAAAGTTAATGTATGAGTTTGTTTTTTTCTAAACTAAAACCTGAGTATTCAGGTTGAATTGCAGTGTTGGCACTTTGCAATAAATAAGTGGGTTTTGGGTTGTAGTTTCTAAAAGGTTCGCCATCACTGCTCTAGCAGACTAGGTAAGGAACCTCTCACTTTCTCTTGGGGCCTGTTAGGTCCTATTCGTGACCCAGCTCATCTGTCCGCTCCCATTTTATCACTAGTTATGTGCTTTATTACAAGAAATTACTCCTAAAAAATAAAGCTCAGTAGCCTCAAACCAGGGAGGAAGGCAATCTCCTCATAAGGGGTTGTAACATGAGCCCCTACTCCTTCCAAGATTCTCTTTCCTAAGCCTATACTTCAGATTCTGCTACCCCCTAAAACAGTCCGGAGGGTGAAGGGCCTGTCGACCTCCTCCAACAGTCTTGTCCAGTTACAGATATTTGACTCTTGTTGAGGCTTGTACATTTAAAATGTAAACTTCCAAGAGCTTGCAGGGCTGGGGCAAGGCTTGTCAAAACACTGCAGGTGCCCTGAATCACACTGAATGCAGGATACCGAGGTTTACAAGATGAGCTACAAGATCTTCACAGAGTCAAGTGTAGAAGAGAGCAAGAGGTCTGTCCAAGGCTTAGAGATCTGAAGAATCCAGCCGAGGCCCTGGAGCCCATGGCAATGTCCTGTATGACTCTGTATTAGGAGGCCAAGAAATGGCTGTTGAAATTCTAAAGTGTCTGTGTTTGAGGCCAGGAGAGGACGCTGGAGGTGAAGGTGAGGACCAAAGCTCCTCCAAAGAGAACAGCCGAAGTCCGTCCCGCAAAGGAAAATCAGCAGTGAAGCTTGTGCAAGAAAGACCAGCTGAAATCCTTCCCTCTTGTTCTCCTTTTATCTGGCTCTGAGAACAATCCTCCTTAGTTGGATCTTCCACAGCCAGAACCACTCTGAGTCAGTTCAGCTAGGCGTTCACCCCAAAACCCCTTCACTAATGAGGAGTCAGTGATTCTCAGAGCACTCACATGTAGCAACTGCACCTGAGCACTTGCTAGAAATACAGGTTTTCAGGCCCCTTCCCACCTCTGCTGACTAAAACTGTGGTGGTGGAGTGCAGCAGTGATTATCCAGGCAACACGATGCAGGTTACAACACACAAACACAGAATAACTATTATCTGCTGTTTACGTGTACCCTGCTTCTCAGGTGTTTGTCTGCCACAGGGACCCCACTTTTCTGGATTCCGGGTGTCTGTCCATCATATAACACACCTGTAGACATCACGGGTCTTTTCCTCAGAGTCTTTCCTCAGCACACTAAGTTCTTAGATAATTAAGCTCTGTTTTCTAAGCTTACATTTTTTTTTCTGAGTGATGAGTACCACCAGTATTCACCTACACCCCCTAGAGGCCAATATAGGGTCATCTGTTCTCTAAGGTTACAGCACTGCCTCATCTAACTCAGCAGGACACCTGAACTCCCTCTGAACTCACAGGAGACACACTGCAGTGCACCTGCCCCAGCTCTGGGCGGAACCCCTCCGTAATCTGCCAAGCCTCACCAGAGGGTCTCTCTGTCTCTCTCTCCCTCCCTCTCTTCCTTCTCTCCCTTTTCTTTCCCCTCCTTCCCTGCCTCCCCCTCATTCTCACCACCATACTCTAGAGTTGCCAGATATAACAATAGGCAATACGATGGAAAATGTGAATTTCACACTCAAAATTCAGGTGTAAGAATCAGAGCCCACTGTGGGACTGTGATTTCAGCCTCAAAAGGGCTGAAGATGATAATACTGTTTTCTAAGTCTTGCATGCTGCTATACCCAACTTCTGGTTTCTTTTACATACGTTTTATCTCCTGTCCTTATCAGCATATTAAATAGTTGTGGCAGCTCTGTACTGTGGGGAACATTACGGGAAAAATTTTGGAAGAACTTTAAAAACAACAATTTTTGAAAAGATGCCTCAGTTTTCCTTGTGGATAACAAAGCAAATTCCTTAGCACCCATGGAAATGATTTAAGTGTTGCAGGTGGTCTCGTAAAAACAGACACCAGAAGGCTAACTTCCCAAGGTTTATCTTCCCTCCCTTTAAAGTCATGCAGAGGGCGTCTGCTGCAGGTGAGAATTACACTGTGCTTCAGTTACGCTGTATACCCTATTCACCTAAAATTGCCCTTCTCCTGCCAATCTTTGTTCTCAAACTAATAGAAGTCAAAGATGGAAGATGATAGCTCCCCAACAGTATTCTTCCTCATGAAACGTCTGGCTGACTTATAATAAAACATAAAATGTGTATTTTCCAAAAGAGAAATTAAACCTACCATTTAGAATCTTTGTCTTAAGTGTCCATAAACACACTCGTAGCTTATGCACCTACATTTTTCTAATTCTGTCAGAAAAAATCCCCTTTCTGAGAGCGAACTGCGTGTTTGACTTTTGTAATACCAGACCTCTATTTGCAGAAATACACCACCAGAGTGGGAGACAAAGGAACTCAGCTCTCCGGTGGCCAGAAACAGCGCATCGCCATCGCCCGTGCCCTTGTTAGACAGCCTCATATTTTGCTTCTGGATGAAGCTACATCAGCTCTGGATACAGAAAGTGAAAAGGTGTGAATTTCATTTGGGCTCTTTCATACAAAGGTTTAGATGTGTGCTTTTCTCTTCCAAAATAGAGAACAAAATCTAGGCAGATGTGTCGATTGTTGCTGAAGGCCTATTTCAGTGGAATTCAAGTACTTTCTGTAGCTATCAATATAGGAGAGCTAAGGTGAGAGAAGGTAAATTAGTGGTGGAGCACATAAGCTCCGAAAGCTGCGTGCAGGAAGCATGTTCCCCATGTCTGCCAGCAGATCTCTGCAGCGGCCCTGTGTGAAGTGTGAGGCAAGGTTATGATCTGGCTGTACCTGAAGGGAAGTGGAGGCAATCATTTTCAGTTTGAGAACAGGTGAAGAATTCAGCCATTCGAAAGACAGACTGCTTAGGAGAGGTTTTCTGTCCTAAAGATAATAACATTGAGCTGTGTGCGATGGTGCAAACCTGTAATCCCAAGCAGTCTGGGAGGCTGAAGCAGGAGCGTCAAAATGCAAACCCAGCCTGGGCACCTTAGCAGCTTAGTGAGTGAGAGGCCCTGTGTCAAAATAAACACTTTTTAAAAGGTAGAGGATGTAGCTTAGTGTGAAGTCCCTGGCTTCAATCCCTACCACGAGACAAACACTACCAGTGAAGGAGGCTGAGTTTGGTCTTTGTTCAGGCTTTGTGATTTGCTGCTGCGGAGCTGCCTTAACTGGCTGCTTTTAGTAAGGAGCATTTGGAAATGTTTCCAAATTATTGGATGGACTAAAGTATTGCTGTAACTTTAAGAACAGGAGTAATCCATCTCACAACTTAGCTAAAGTAGGACTCAAATATTTTCTGACGGGACACATCCTGTTTTATTTCACTGACACAACCACTAAAGACCAAATGAGAGAAACCATGGAGCTTGTGATGAAGGAACAGTTAAAGGGAGAAGAGTGTTATTAAGAGAATTAATTCATGTGATTATGGAACAGGTTGTCCAGGAAGCCCTTGACAAAGCCAGAGAAGGTCGCACCTGCATTGTGATCGCGCACCGCCTCTCCACCATCCAGAACGCCAACGTCATCGTGGTGATTCAGAATGGCAGGGTGAAGGAGCACGGCACACACCAGCAGCTGCTAGCACAGAAAGGCGTCTATTTCTCAATGGTCAGTGTCCAGGCTGGAGCAAAGCGCTAGTGAAGTCTGACCACATGGGATCTTAAACATTAAACAGTTGTGTTTAAATATGACGTTTGATCGGGTCAAAAAACAAGCACTGCATTTGGTAGTTACCTATTTAGCATTTCCTGCCACAACTGGATAATTTCCAGTCTAGCGTCTTCAGAGACTTCATAGTTAAAGAATCCTAGGGGCTGGGGATTTAGCTCAGTGGTTCCACTGCCTGCCCCGCAAATACAAGGTCTGAGTTTGATCCCCAGTACAAAGAAAAAAAAATAAGTCAAAGAATCATAAATAGAACCACTATCAAATGGGAGTGGATAATGGTTTGTATCCATTACAGAATTCATAAAAGGATTTAATGTAATTTTGGAATATGTAATTTAATGTAATTTTATTTATACTTTATCATTGGAACTATAAGTCACTATTGCTAAAAGATTATTCTATCAATAACAAACAGTACTGATATGTTTCCCCAGAAGTGCCTAAAATAAAACTAAACTTTCATATCGTTGGTGTCATGTTGTCCAAAACGCATGTGAATATACGTATTTTTGCAAATATGGGTTCATTAAAAACCCATTCATTGCTGTGGAAATACCTAAACAGTTCAACTCCATTTCATTAGTTTTTTCACGTTGGGTTTCACAGAACCATCTAGCTTCTATCTTCTAGAAGTAGATCCTGCTGATTCCTGTACTTCCATGTTGTTACAGAACTCAAACCTGTCACACAGATTAATACGATTTGGGAAGGGTGAGTGAGAGGCAGTTGTATATTCCTCAGGTTTACCTTCAAAATTATTCATTGCTCTTATAAAGGCCTGTTCAAGGATTTTAATAGTTTTATACCCTTTTCTGTCTTGATAATGAATCACTGTTCCCAGTAATTGTTTCTTAAAAATCTGATCTTCCTGGGCTGGGGATGTAGCTCTGTGGCACCATGCCTGTTTCACAAATGCAAGGTCCTGAGCAGATCCCTGGTACAAAAAAAAAAAAGTCTGATCTTCCTAATTTACACGTTTAGAATGTGCTGGGTGTTTGAATACTTCATGATTCAAACCTGCAAAAAGGAAAGAAGAAATAACTCGAAGACTGGTCCTCTGTTTTCAAAATTTTACATAAATTTAGTGCAAAAGCAGGATAAACCAGATTGAAAATCAGAAGCTTAGGGCCATGTTTGCCATATTTCTGTAAACAGTTAATATCTTTAAAGAACTTTCATGTGAAAACAAAGGCTTCTTCCAGAAAAAATGGTCAAAACCTGAGATCTAGAAATTTTCAAAAATGAGAAATGCATGAGAAAAAAGTATACAATTTCAGTCACCCAAAAACTGCAGATTAACACATTTTTGGCTAGTAACTTGATGATAAATAAAAAATATCTCTATTGTGACAGTCTTTATAGTTGACCTAGTCATTGATATAAGTTTCAATGATTACTTAACGGCATAACAAAAGCTGTTAAAATGCATATCCTTTGAGACAGAAATTTCAGTTCTAGGAAAATCCATTTAGTTAAAAGCTATATAAAGGTTGCTTATTGTACTATTAGTTATAAAGTTGAAAACTGGAATCTAGATATTTAACAGTAAAAATTATGCATCCTATTTTAGTATGTTCACAAAACAGAATGATTACAAAATTAAATTGGACAGCCAAAGAGAGGTTCCCAGTGCTTGACTCCTCTAAGAAGAACCAGAGTAGCAAATAATAGTTGAGTTTTGAGATGGGCAGCACTTTTTCGTTTGTTTCTTTGTTTTTTTGGTACCAGGGATTGAACTATGGACCTTGCACTTTTGAGGCAGGCGGCGAGCCACTGAGCTAAATCCCCAGCCCAAGATGGGTAGCACTTTGGAAAACAGCAAGGGAAAGACAAGAACCTTGCAAGGCACAGAAACCTGGGATACTGATAAGGCAATGCAAGAAAGCACCCAGCTGAAATCCTGTTTCTGCTCTGGGGAGTCTCCCCCCTCAAGGAAAAGGGTGAACAGCAGAGTCTCAACGGGCCCCATTTTTGTGAAGATGGCACCTCGCTGCAGATGGGGGCAACCCCAACAATGGGAGGGACAGGCCAGAGCCCCCTTCCAAGCGGTTCCAGGAGTTTGTACTGTAGCTCTGCCCCAGAGAAGGCACATGTATCATCTGCCCCTCAGCCCTCAGGTCTAAAGTTGCTGCAATATGGGCAAAATATTGGGAGCAAAGATACATACACTGCTGCCCAAGGCAACTTCATCAGCTTCAGAAGCAGGATCTCCCTTACCTGCTTGAAGCTGTCTCTGATCTACTTGAGCCACAGTAGGCTGAGCTGCTGCCCTCACAGACCCAAGCTGTGTAACCCAAGCCATAATTAGCCAGAGCTGCCATGCTCTGCTAGGCCAAAGTATCTGTTCTATGCTTTGTGCCTCCTGATACCACAGGCTTGCCCCAGTTACCTGAAGCGCTGCTGCTGCTACAAAAGCACTGTGCTCCAATGTTTAAAGCGCCCTCACTTCTACTGCCTGAGTCACGCTGGTCACCACACATCTATGCTGTGTAAACAACACCCACCTGGGCCACGATAGTGCCTGTTCCCTCCCAAGATTTAGATCCAGTGTGGCCCCACAAGCCCCATGTCATCTGGAAGGTGACTGATTACAGGGCACTGTAGCTGACTTGCTAACAGGTTGCTTTGTCTCCCTCCCTCTGTCCTCCCTTCTCTCTCTGCTTCCTGGCTGCAGCTCCTCTGCAGCAGACCCTTCCACTATGCTGTTTCTGAATGAGCCTGGGAACCATGGTCTTAAACATCTAAAAGCTATGAGCCAGTATAATCTCTCCTCCTTTAAGTTGTGGCTGTCAGGTTTTGTGTCTCAAAGCAAAGGAAATGACTATGACACTCCCCTACATGACTCCTGGAGACAGAAGGGCTCTCTGATCTGTAGAGATCTGTTGCTCACAGTCAAAGAAACTATAGGGAAACTCTCCCAGGGTGCCCACCTGGAAGCAATGCCAACATACCTTTCCAAACTGATACCCAAGACACATCTTCAGGAGAAAGCCATTTAGTATAAAAAGCTAGTTTATAAAAATAGTACTGAGAATCAATTTGCCAGATGCACAAATGTGAACATAGGGATGCTGGAAATATGAGAAAACATGGTGCCTCCAAAAAACCACAATAACTGGCAACAGACCTCCATAAGAAGGATATTTATTGATGAAATGCCTGGCAACTCAGACCCTGTCCAAAATAAAAAGCACTGGGGATCTGGGTCAGTGGTAGAGCACCCTTGAGTTTAATCCCCAGGAGTAAAGAACAAACATAAAGAACAAACAAAAAAATCCCGTAGAATTCTCAAGAACAGACTAGATCAAATATAAGAATGTCTGAACTTGAAGACAGGTCCTTGCCAATATCACACTCAGACACAGAAATAAGGAGAGAGACAAACAGAAAGAGAAAAATGACAGCTTGGAAGACCTTGGAGACACCATGAAATAGATAAATACCTGGAGGTGAGTATAAAAGGACAGACACAGCAAAGCTATTCAAATGAGACACTAGATGGAAACTTCCTTAATCTTGGGAAAGATGTAGGCTTTCAGTTGTAAGAGGCTTACAGGATCTGAACTAGACATGACTAGAGAAGATCTTCACCAAGACATGTTAGAGTTAAACTGTCAAAAGCTCAGAGCAGAATTACAAAAACTGTAAGAAAAGCACCAAGTCACATTCAAAGCTATGCCCATTCAACTAACAGAATGATTCTGCCAAAATGTACAGAGAAGGGAATGGGATGATAGATACAAAGATTCAAGATGACAACCAAGCAAGAATACTATAGCCAATAAAGCTATCCTGCATGTACAAGTGAGTAATAAAGACCTTCTGAGACAAGCAGAGACTTAGATAATTTATCACAATCAGACTAGCCATACAAAATATGCTTAAGGGAGCTTTGTATTCAGAAGCAAAAGAAAGATAACTTCCATCATGAAAACACAGGAAAGTAGAAAACTCATGTAATGGTTAATCATGGCTGACAGCTTGATCGAGTTGAGTAACACCCCGAAAATTAGTAAGGCACACTTCTGCCTGTGTCTGTGAGATTGTTTCCGGAGACAATTGGCATGTGAGCCAGGAAGCTGACGGGGGGATCTGCCCTGTTGGGGATGGCACCATCCGTTAGCAGAAGTACTATACCTGCTAGCACAAGCCCTCAGGCTGTTGCTGTCTCTGCTTCCTGGCTGCCATGAGGTGAACAACCCCCCTTTACCACACCCTGCCATCATATGGTTCTGCCTTGCCATCTCCTGGCATTGTACTGAAACCTCTAAAACATGAACCAAAGTAAACCTTTAGTTGTCTTTGCCAAGTATTTTGTCAGTTTTGGAAAGCTGACCCACATAACCCACTACAAGGACATACACACATAAAAGAATTTTAAAAACAAATCTTATCAATACAGGAAACCACCAATGTATAAAAATAAACAACAGAAGGGCCAGGAATTTAGCTCAGTGATGCCACCGCTTGCCTCGCAATTGCAAGGTCCTGAGTTTGAACCCTGGTACCACCAAAAAAATAAAAAAAGATAACAGAAGAAGTAAAAGTTCTAAGGATCTTCAAAACAAGAAAATCAACAAAATGATGGAAGGAATTATCAATAATGTCCTTGAATATAAATGAACTAAATCCCTCTATTAAAAGATACAACATTACTGAATGGGAACAAAAAACAAACCAACAATATGCTGCCTGTAATGCAACTTACTTCACTAGCAAAGACTGAGCATGAAAGAATTCTATGCAAATGGAAACCTAGAACAAGCAAGAGTAGCTATACTTCTCAGACAAAATAGACAAAGGTCACTATTTCATGATCAAGGTACTAATTCAGAAGATATACTGATTGCAAATGGACATGCACCCAGTGCTGGAGTACCTAGTTTTGTTACATCTAAAAGGAAAGCTAGTCTTATGGCTTATGTGTAGGTATGTCCCTCCAAAGCCTCGTATAGGCATCATGAGGTCATAGGTGTGACTTTTTCAGAGGTGGCTGGATCTAGAGTGTGTGATGCTGGGATGAAGGGTGTGTCATTACTAAATCAGTCCACTGGGTGGTTTGGCATAGTTCTGGGTAGGATTAAGGTTGCCCCACCTTGGTGTGAGTGGATGCAATATAAAGGGACTGAGAGAATCTGTCACTTGTCGCTTGCTGCTTGCTGTCTTCTGCCTGCCCTGCTTTGGCATGAACTGTTTCTCCTCTCTGATGCCCCTCTGCCATGCCACCCCGGCTTGGAGCCACTCAACTATGTACTGAAACCTCTACAAACTATAAGCTAAATAAACCTTTCCTCCTTTCACTTTGGATGTTGGGTATTTTGCCTCAGCAACAAGAAAAGTAACTAAGACAGGCTCCAATGCAGTAACAGTGAAGAACTTCAGACACTATACTTTCATCAACGGATAAACCATGCAGACAAACAATCAGCAGGTGCATTATAGTTAAATTATACTAAGTCTGATGGT